GTCACGCAACGTGGGGAAGATCAACGAGAACAACAACAACAACCAGAACAACAACGGCAACAACAACAACAACAGGTTCAATTATTGAGGAACCTTTTTATACTGAATGAGTAGAGGTAATGAGTGTGCAACAAAAAAAGAAGACAAGACGCAGCGGAGTTCAGAAGAGAATAAAAGAAAGAAAATCTGAACTCCACAATCTGCTATACGCGACCGAGAGTCGACCATTTAGAGTCAGTTAAAAAACAAACAAAAAATCGTACGGCAACCTCTAGCTCAAAAATAATCAATCTCAGTATAAAAATAATACAAAATCCTCCTCCACATAAGCAGCAAACCCCAAAGCTAGAGAAAAAGTGCCCAGCAGACTGTGAAGGTCCTCTATACAGCGTATACTGTCTGTACACCTGCCAGAGGGATAACAATAAGGGTGAGAGGCATACCGCCCCTTGCGCCAACGCGGGAAGACTAGAAGACTGCAGCAGAAATATCAACAAGTGCGAGAGGCATACCGCCCCTTGCGCCAACGAAGGAAGACTGCAGCGGAAATAGCAACAGCTGAGAGAGGCATACCGCCCCTTGCGGCAACGAAGGAGCATCAGCGTGCCACATCCGGCGACGCCCATTACTTACTATTTTACTATTATTGTTAAAAAAAAATATTGTAAAACTGAGCAATAATTCAAAAGTTGCGGATTCAAACGCAAATGTTATAAATACAGTCGGGGTTTCACAATCCGAATTGAAACTATGAACTATATTGCTAATAATAATTGTCGTACTGATGTGTGCCAACACTTTCACTAAATTGTATAAATTGCACAATAGGTGCCTTAAGAAGAAATACTCAAGTAGGACAAACGACCTCAATATAATGTAAAAACAACTTTTTATAAGAAAAAAAATATATATATATATTAAAAACTAAACGAAAAAAAAACGAGAAAGAAGTGCTATCTTCGGCACGCCGAAGATTTAATACCCTTGCAGACCCAACCTTTTTAAAATGCTCATAGTGCTTTGCCTGCATCTAAGAAGCACAGGGAAAATAGTTAATGCCGAGTATGGTTAAGATATCTTGAAAAACAAAACAGGTTTCCATACAACAACTTAATTTTCGACCGATCGTTCCTATCGCAGCTATATGATATAGTAGCCCGATGTGAATAAGATTTTGCATAAGTGGAGGGAGCATAGTAAAACTAATAAATGCCGAGTTTGGTCAAGATATCTTGAAAAACAAAAAAAATTCCATACAACAGCATAATTTTCGACCGATCGTTCCTATGGCAGCTATATGATATAGTTGTCCGATCTTAATAGGATTTTGCATATATATGGGGAGTGTAGTAAAACTAATAAATACCGAGTTTGGTCAAGATATCTTGAAACAAATAAAAATTTTCCATACAAAAACTTAATTTTCGACCGATCTTTCCTATGGCAGCTATATGATATAATTGTCCGATCTTAATAGGATTTTGCATATATATGGGGAGCGTAGTAAACCTAATAAATACCGAGTTTGGTCAAGATATCTTGAAAAACATAAAAATTTTCCATACAAAAAACTTAACTTTCGACCGATCGTTCCTATGGCAGCTATATGATATAGTTGCCCGATCTTAATAGAATTTTGCATATATATGGGGAGCTTAGTAAAACTAATAAGTACCGAGTTTGGTCAAGATATGTTGAAAAACATAAAAATTTTCCATACAAAAACTTAATTTTCGACCGATTGTTCCTATGGCAGCTATATGATATAGTGGTCCGATCCAGCTGGTTTTGACATATGAGCTGCGTGCAAGCGAAAGAGGGAATTCTGCAAAGTTTCATAAAGATAGCTTTAAAACTGAGAGACTAGTTCGCATAGAAACAGACAGACGGACAGACGGACAGACGGACATGGCTATATCAACTCGGCTGTTGATACTGATCAAGAATATATATACTTTATATACGTGCGCACATAACTTTTGTGTTTCTTAACCGATCTTAACGAAATTTTGCGACAGTACATCTTATTGTAGAATAGAATAAAGAATATTTGTGTATTCTCAAAAATTCAATTACATAAAAATTGTGGCTTAAATTGATGGGCAATACAAGTTGGATAATAAACTTGATTTGTAGCTTTGTGGTGGTAGTGGGGAGGTGGCGATAGTTATAAAATGATAGATACTTGATATATATATGTTGCAGCGTCATTATTTCTGTTATTAGTTGCCATCGTTTTAGGCGCAGCGAGTTTCGGTCGCACCGGGATCCTAAACACAACTAACTTTGTGTCTTCCCTTTTTCTCGTGCCTTTCTACCGAACCACACTCGGCGACAGCTACAGACGCTGTCGCCCGCCAAAACGTGACTTTCCCAAACTACATAGTAAAACAGACAACAAAACAGACACACAAACAGGCTGACGCAATATCGCAATGTACTTGCGATTCTGGTGAAATACCCAAATACGCACTAACACAAACTCAATACAATTCTCACATACATTTCTAGCACACGCCGCCACGGCGCCAACATATTCAAACTACTTATGCTTCCACACGGCCAACCTGACCATAACACGACCTCGTGTAATTCTAAAAAAAATGCTTAGCTTCCTAAATCATTTTATTTATAAATCATCAAATAAAATGTAACATTAACATTTCCTTTTTCTTATAAATTTCTCCATTACAACTTATTTATTTTATTTTATTTTATTTTTTTTTTTTTTTTTTAAACTTCATAGCTTTATGCAGAATTTAAACATCCATTCTTAGTTCTTAAACTAATATAAAATTCATCTTTTACTTAATTAAACTTTCTTAATAATTCTCTTCATTATCATAAACCCACTTGGTTTCGCATTACATTATTTTATGCATCACACGCCATGATCAAAACATTTGTTTTGCACTTGTGCTTGCATTACAGATATGACAAATTTATTCAAGTTTTATTATCAGCCTTTCAGGCATCCATACTGTCTCTTTCAACAGTTTTGACTTTCCATCATTCCAATACTGTCTCTTTCAACAGTTTCTTTTTCTATCATTTCATTACTGTCTCTTGCAACAGCTTCCTTTTCAATATCATTCAAATCCTCATCACAACTTTCTAAATCATTTGGAACATATCCCTCTGGCAATTTCCTTATATCTTCATGAGCGTACTTGAACTTCCTATTATTTGTCAACGCTTGAGGATATATCTATCTCCGTCTAGTACTTGAACAATTTGCAAAGGTCCTCTATACTTTGGACTCAACTTTGTTTGATGCCTTTCTTCATTCTTCAACAACACAAAGTCTCCTACTTCATACCCAACAACTTTAGCCTTAGTTTTATCAAATTGCCCTTTGCTATATGCTGCCGCCGCTGATACATTTTGCACTGCTCTTGATTCTGCCAAATCAACTTCTTGTGCCACGTCACATGGTGGAAGCAACCCCATGTACTCGACTTACAGTACAATTTAAGGCTAGCTGTACCTCGCCCAATGCGTCTTGCAAAGATCTGCTGCTAGTTTCAACTGCCGTTAATAAGTTTTTCAAAGTGCTCATAATGCGTTCTACCTGTCCGTTAGCTCTACTTGCACCTGTCGCAATTAAGTGCAAACTTATATTTTGTTTAGAACAGAATTCACTAAATTTAGAGCTGGCAAAACACCTACCCTGATCTGCTATTATGCGGTTTGGTACTTCAAACAAGGATACAGCCGATGTCACAGCACCTATGCAATTGTCAGCATCAATCTTGAGTGTGTGTGTAAAGTAAACAAATTTAGTAAAAGCGTCCACTTGAACAATAACATACTCTTTTTGATCACTCTTGCCACCTTACTTGCTTGTTATGTCTATGTGTATTGTATGCCAAGGTGTATCGACCTTTGGTATTGGAAAAAGTCTAGCCTGAACTTTACCTGAGGATGACTTTGACATCTTGCAAGTTATACAGTTTTCAACAAATTTCCTTACATATTTTGACATATTTTCAAACCAGTAAAAATCGTAGGCTTTGTCCAATGTTTTTTCCCAACCCAAATGCATTATTGTCTCATGAACTTGATTAATAACGGACCATCTAAATGCTCTTGGAACAACTGGCAAAGATCGAGTTCTGCCATTTCTCTGTATTTTCCGATAAATTATTCCTGCTCTCTAGGCAAGAGAATTGTCTTTTAGTTTATTCACAATATTAATTATATCGGAATCCTTGCGCTGTTCAGCCATCAGCCAATCACTAGATATCTCTGCCAGATTAATTCTTTTTTCAGAAACTTTACGAGCATCAATTGCATCAGCAGATGGGAGATTTCTTGAAAAGAAATCAGCATGAGCCATTCGTTTACCCTCTCTATACTGTAATTCAAAAGAGAAGTACTGTAAATAAGCCCACCATCTTTGTGCTCTGGGCGATAGGTCACGTTTATTTCTTGATGCTTTAAGCGAATTGCAATCGGTAAAGACAACAAAATCTCTGCCTGTCAAATAATGACGAAAATGCTTAATGGCCAGGACAACCGCGAGAGTCTCCAATTCGTAAGAATGGTATCTTAACTCAGCAGGTGAAGCAGCCTTACTGAAGAACTCAACGACATGGGGCTTGTTATCTATTCTATGCAACAAAATGGCATCGTATCCACGAGCACTTGCATCAGTATGCAACTCGATTGGATATTGCGGGTCAAAAATAACCAAAACTGGCTTCTGTGTAAGAACAGATATAACTTTTTGTCTTATTTCTTCATGTTCTGGCTTCCAAATAAACTCGTTCTTTTCCGATGTCAACAAAAACAAAGGCTTCAAGAAACAAGAAAATCCCTGTATAAATTGCCGAAAGTAAGACGCAAGTCCAATAAATTGTCTTAAAGCAGAAACCGACTGAGGAGGTGGTAGAATTTGGACGAATTTGACCTTCGCTCACTTCATATCCCAAATATTGAACAGTTGACTTCAGAAACGAACACTTTTTAATATTGAACAAGAAACCAGCTTTCGTGAGAACATCAAGTCTTTCCAAAGCCTCACTTTTCGTTGCAGCCACCACTAACACGTCATTCATATAGACAACCACAAAAGTATTTGCCAGTTCTCCAAGTGTATGCATCACTGTACGCTGAAAAACTGAAGGTGCATTTTTCAGACCAAACGGCATTGACAAAAACTCGTACTGGCCATCTGGGGTGACAAAAGCCGTACACTCTATTGATTCTTCATGCAATGGGATTTGGTAATATCCGCTTGCCAAATCCAAACAAGTGAAATATTTAGCACCATGAAGTCTGGCTATCTGATCTGCTATAAGGGGTAAAGGATATCTATCTGAAACTGTGTTAGAATTCAATTCACGGTAATCAACACACAAGCGATGAGAACCGTCTTTTTTGTTTACTAACATCATAGGACTTGCAAAGGGAGAGCAGCTTGGCCTTATGACATTGCATTCCAAAAGCTCTTTAATCTTGTCGCGTACCAATTCTCTTTCATTTGGACTAAGCCTGTATGGTCTTCTTTGAACAATTTTTCTATTGTCTTCTAATTTAATTTTCATTTCACCTGTACTGACAGTAGATGAAGGAATTCCCTTTGTAAAAGATTTTGAATAGTTTTCCAATAAATTGTTTAATTTATCTTAATCTTCACCGACAAGATCAGTATTCAATTTAGAAAATACATCATCATTTGAACAAAAGTTAACAGATTTTGATCTAACAATTTCAAATTTTCCAGGTGACATAATGACATAAAATCCTTGCGACATTATTTCTCTACCAATCATAATATCATTTTTCAAATATTCATCACCCAAAACATGGAATAACATTTCAATACAATGATTGTTAATTTGTACCATGCAAAGTATTTGCAATGTACTACAAATGCTGTCATTTCCAATACCTTTCAACATTACTGTATTGTTAATTCTTTTACCAACTAACTTAGCACTTATCTTTTGTTTAACCAATGAACATTCCGCTCCAGAGTCAAACGTTGTCGTGAAAGTCTCGCCATGGTGAATCATCTCTCCTTTGGGCACATCAACTTCGCATAGCTGCACTCTTTTCACCTGATGCGTATCTTTGAATTTGTCCATTTTGGGCTTACTGCAATGGGTTGAAATGTGTCCAACCTCTCCACACTTGAAGCAGGTTAAATTTGATTGCTGCTGGTGACCAAACACGCTCTTGCCGCTACGCTCAGCAGCACGGGGAGGAACATTTTGCTGCTGTCTAGCTCTGCATTCAACCATCTTGGGACCCAACTTTCCACAGTAATGACATTTTATTGTTGAAAATTTCTGTCGTTTCGAGTCGGATGCCGCTGTTTCTTCTTGTGAGGATTTCTTCCGTTTGTTGAACGTAAAAGCTTTTAGCTCTGTCTGTAGTTCACTCCTGGTGCGCACGTTTGATGTAAAAGTAAGACGTTGCAATCTGCTATCAATATGAGCCAGCTGAGCAAGCGTCACGGAAACAGCAATCTCCTCCACATCCATCTCACGCCATTTGGTGAGGAGTGACGTCACCATGCGACTAGCATAATTGGAGAGACATTCTCCTTCAGTCGGGCAAGTTGATAACATTGTTAACAACATAGCTGCTGGTGTCTCAACACTGGTAAAGCGCTGAAGAAAAAGTTCCTTAAAATCAGCCCAATTTATGTCAGGATAACATATTTGTGAGAGCCACTGCAACGCACTGCCTTCCAATGCTGCACTCAAAGCCACCACCAACGCACTGCCTTTTATGTTGTTTTCTGCCAAAATTATATTTACTGTAGCGCACCACGCCGATGCGTCGGCGCCTACAAGATCCGCGTTAAATTTCGGCAAAACTACTGCATTATTATTCTTTGTTTCGGAAGCCGTTAATTTCAATGCTTTCACAAGTTCAATAAAATTTTTATTTTGTACTTCCATTAACACTCGCCATGGATCAATTGACGTATTAGGTAGCGATCCAGATCCCACTTCTGATGTGGCAGCGTCATTATTTCCGTTATTAGTTGCCATCGTTTTAGGCGCAGCGAGTTTCGGTCGCACCGGGATCCTAAACACAACTAACTTTGTGTCTTCCCTTTTTCTCGTGCCTTTCTACCCAACCACACTCGGCGACAGCTACAGACGCTGTCGCCCGCCAAAACGGGACTTTCCCAAACTACATAGTAAAACAGACAACAAAATAGACACACAAACAGACACACAAACAAGCTGACGCAATATCGCAATGTACTTGCGATTCTGGTGAAATACCCAAATACGCACTAACACAAACTCAATACAATTCTCACATACATTTCTAGCACACGCCGCCACGGCGCCAACATATTCAAACTACTTATGCTTCCACATATACTATTCTAGAAGCTACGTGTCAAGTTTGGTGACTCTAGCTTATATTATTTGCCGAAATTGCTCAAAAAACAGGATTTCAATATCGATTTCTATCGATTACTTGGAAACGGGGCAAGTTATCAAATATCGGAAACAAACTCGATCTGCGCGGGCATTAGGAGGACCTACAGCTAATTTCAAGTCTCTAGATCTTATAGGTTCTGATATCCTTGCGTTCATACATACGGACGGACGGACATGGCTAGATCGACTCGGCTATTGATGCTGATCAAGAATATATGTATATACTTTTGGGGTCGGAGATGCTTCCTCCTGATTGTTACATACATTTGCACATATATAATTTACCATTTTTAACCATTTTAATGGTTTCAGGGTATAAAAAGGGTTCTCTCCAAATAATCGAATAAAATTATAAATAAAATTATTTAGAAAATAGATTTTCATTATAGAATGGGCGGAAATCCGTACCACTTTTATGGAAATCAAAAACAAATTTGAAAAATCTTTTAAGTCGCTAGCGCAAAAGAGAGTTACCCAAGAGATTACTGTTAATAAACATGCTAAGATATTAGTATAATGCTTTAATGAAGCACGTATACTAATACATGACAATAAGAAAAAGTTAAACTCTAAAAACTGGTCAGAGGTATTAAAAGTTTTAGTAATGCTCCGATCAAACTTGATATCAAGAAAAGGGAAATATAGCTTGGATATAGAAAACCCAACAATTGTAAACGCCCTTTCACATTCAAAACAGGTGAAAAACATGAATCGACAGACCAGCAAGAACTTGAATTGACAGAGCAGGAAGAGATTGAGTCGGTAAACAATTCAGATACCGATATAGAGGAAAAATTTTAAACGATCTAACAATTCCAGCTGTCTTAACAGTAGCTGAATCTTCAGATCAAGATTCAGATCCGACTTAAATTTCAAATTTGGTCAATCTGACAAAGGGACCTTATGAAAGCATTGCAATTGAAGTAATAAAGTCAAAAATAATTGGCTCCACCCTCTACATAGTTCAAAATGAGACTAAGATCGTAGATATTATTAAGATATTGCAATAACAACAATGAAAAGAAATTGCGAAAATGGAAAGCTCAAGACAATTCTTGAGGCAGGCTCATTCAAAACAATGAATGAAGCGGTAGCCAAATACGTTCACTACAGCACTGAGATGACTGGTAGTATGAACTCTATTTTATTCACAAGAGGACGAAGAAACGTCCAAGGTAATACCAACAGAGGTAATTGCAGAGGAAGGGGAAATGGCTCATATAATAACAACTCAAATGGCCGTGGCAACTACCATGGTGGCAATAACAACCACGGTGGTAATTATAATAATAACAGAGGTCGTGGAGGATTTATAGGAAATAATCGTAATAACGGTAATTCCTACAATAACCAAAAAAAAGATAATCAAGGAAATTCAAACAGACAGGGAAAAACCAATAGGAAACCTTAAGCACTCAATATCAATAAAAACAACAGTTCACATCATCAATCTTAATTTAAATATATTTATCAATATACAAAATGAACATACTGGTAGGAAAATAACATTTTTAATAGATACAGGAGCTGACAGTCATAAAAGAAATTTCTAATACATTTTTAGATATTGATCATGATAATATAACCTAAATTTCAGGAATTGGTAAAGGATCATTGGGCTCATTAGGTTTAGCATTAATCGAAATGCAAACTTCTAACTTCATTATACCACATAATTTTTACATAAAATTCAATTGTCAATTAGATTTCACTACGGAAAGTTTTTTTTTTTTTTTGAACATAATTATTATTTATTTTATTTAAAATCTGCCCGCTTTTTGGGCAATAATTAAATGTTTTCTTTGACCGTTGGCAGTTATGTATTGCGTGTATCTATGTGTCTGTTTTGTGTGTTTAGTGTAGGGGAAGCAGTGGAATGTGTGGAGTTAGACTCTTTGGGGGACGTCAAGTGGGTGTTTCCTTTTGAGCCGTCTTGTTGTTGAGTTGTTGTTTAAAAGGCTGGTGGCAAGATTTTTTGGGTGGTTGCCTAGTCTGGCCAAGTATCGATCACTCAGCTTGGCAATATCCTCCTTTACCCAAGGTATATTAAGCTGGCTGTGAATTACCTTATTATCATGGTAAATATGCGCGTTAGATAACATACGCAAAGTTTTATTTTGAAGTCTTTGAACAATGTTCAGGTTGCTCTTGCTGGCGGTACCCCAAAGATGGATGCCATAAGTCCATGTTGGCTTGATAATTGTTTTATAGATTAAAAGCTTGAAGGGAAGCTTCAATTTGGACTGTCTACCAATCAGCCAGTAATATTTTTTCAGCTTGTTTTCAGCCTGCTTTCTTTTGCGCACAATGTGTTCACGCCATGTCAGCCGTCTGTCGAGTGTGATGCCAAGATAATTGGGCGTTGTGCTTACCGGAATCTGTAATCCATCTAGGAAAACTGGGGGGCAGTTTCCTTTGCGCAGCATGAAAGTGGTATGGGTCGATTTTTTTGGTTGACTGCGATGTTGCACCTTTTCAGCCAGCTGTCCAGGGAGTCCAATTGACGCTGCATAATGGAGGACGCGTACTGCGGCGTGTTGGCCGTTGTAAGAAAGGCGGTATCATCCGCGTACGTGGCAATCAAGAGGCTCTGATCCGGGCTGACAGGCATGTCGGCTGTGTACACCGTGTATAACAGAGGTCCCAGAACGCTGCCTCCGGCCCTGATGTTCTTTATAGATGAAATAGCATCACCGCAATTAGTGTAAAACTGTCTGCAGGAGATGTAGCATTTTAGAAATTCGAAGTAGGATGCTGGTAAGTTTGCCTTAAGTTTATGCAGTAGACCGGGGTGCCATACCCTATCAAAGGCTTGCTTCACGTCGAGCATGACCGCACAGCAGTACTTCTTTTCTTCGAACGCCTGCATTATTCGCTCTACTAACCTATGGCACTGTTCCGGTGTTCCGTGGAGCCGAACTGTTAGTCTGGGATCAAACCAGCCTCGTTCAATACTGGCAGCACTCTACGTAAAAAGACTCTTTCGAGCAATTTAGAGAGAGTAGCCAGTAAGCTTATGGGACGATAAGAGGAGAGATTGGCCTCAGGTTTACCAGGCTTTGGTATTAAAATTACCTCAGCTCGTTTCCACTGGGAAGGGAAATGTCCAATCTCAAAGCATCGGTTAATAACGT